CCCCAAAACCCCAAAACCCCAAAACCCCTTTTATTAAGCATGCAGTTGAAATGTGAGTATTAACTAGGTATGTCTACTTTCTTTGGATTTACCACACAACTTTGGAATAGGCTTCGTCTATGTTGACCAGCTCTTCTGGGATTTTAATTGATTGCTGAAGTACAGATTTAGGCTTTGGGTTTTGTGGGATTTTGAAGAGTTTTCCACCATTCCTAAAGCGAAATTTAATTTAGTTCATATAATTGTTACGAGAATTGATAGTAATATCGCTTAATAAGTATAATGGGGCTAACGAATCGAAAGTAGCAATCATAAGGTAAATTTGTAGTAGACTTCTCTGAAAATAGTAGATATTCGATGGAATTTTAGGCTTGCGAGTGCTTTTAATGCTTCTTGATAAGAAATCCAGTTTTTGTTCTCGATTTTTTTAAATTCAAATATCTGTAATCCAATCAGTTTGTATGATCTCATATTCACGAATAGTTTACATTCATTTATGAATTGATGTATAGACAAATAATCCTGCATTTAAGCTAACTATTATCTCTCATTATTAAATTTTTGGACAAATGATTATTCAAGTCAGACATTGCGAATCTAAGGTTCGTTGATCCAAGTTTCAATAATGCTCATTTAAAATTTTGCATAAAACTGAATAATTTGCTAGAGGTGTTAATAATGCTTTATGATCCCTCTATTGCTGTCTGTAGACCAGAGATCGACTAATCCATAACATTGAGCGCATTGAATTTTAGTCATGCAATCGATCGCCAAAATGATAGAACTAGGATTTAAGTTACTAAATTACTTAGCATAACTCTATACAACATCTAAAATTCTTTATTCAGTATTTCTTAAAAATTAACTTGTTTATCTCTAACAACTATATTTAACCAAGTTTATTGTGTATGGAACAATGAGAGTACCCTTGGAAAGATTGATCGAATCAGCAGACCTCATCTTCGACCCCTGATTCAAAATCAGGCCAGATAGGGTTTTCTTCCTGCATATCCATCCATGAGTATGATCTGGAATTCTTTGGCAAGGCTATCCTTCTAAATGCTCTTTTCTGACTGTTCGTCTTCTTTTCTACAATAAAATAATAAGGCCTGTTGTAGAATTTTGGAAGGCTTACTTTTTGTGGGATACATTGAATTATGAGCTTCCTTCTTAAAGCTTTGGAGTAGGGCTTTGGTATAAGTATTCTTTTGTTTGAAGTCACTTGGAATTTTGTGAATGATTGTGGCAGGAAGATAGTCATGTCCCCCTTCTTGGACGTCATCCTTCGCTTTAAATGTTTTTGTATCTTCCTAAAAAATGAGACAATTTTCCAAAGTGAAAAGTTTGTAAATTTCATAATTCATCTAAAAGTTATAATAAGTGGACTTTCAAGGTTTTATAAGTTAATAAAAATGTCGTAAATATAATCTTGCATATGAAGAGAAAGCAGCCAGTTTACTCAAAATCATATAAGAATGTCTTTACAAAGCCGCAGGAACTAGGCGATCCCCCTATGGAGGAATCGTTATAGCAATACACTCCTAAAACATTGTTATTTTTACCAAGGCTGATTTGGTATTAGCTGCTGGTTAATTTTTAGAAATTATTTCTTCCGATTTCTTTAGTTCCGATTTCTCATATCTTAATTTGGCCAGAACAGGTTTATAAGATAGGCGCACTCACAAGCTATTGAGAGTAGGAAGATTTCAACCTACATTTATTACTCTATTTGTTAACAAATTGTTTTGAAAAGGGATGATGCTAGGCTTTTACGCAGAATATGAAGAAATCACCAATTAAGTTAGCCAAGTCCAAGACTAGTATTTATTGTAGAATTGTTTTGAGACTTGATTCCATTAACTTACACATTTTAGGGTTTTAGATCATAAGCATTGGGTCATAGGAGAGCTTTCTGAGGTTTTTGATTCATTATTTTAATAATGGTGATTTGAACCTGCTTGAAGACTTCTTCACTACTCTGGAAGACAATCTTGATGAAATTTTTTGAGGAGATGAAATACTTTGGCTAAAACTACTTTCTTGCTCAGATGGGTTTTTCTGATTCTTCTTATTGTTCATATAAAATGATGATGGCACATTTCATTTTGACTTGCTATTGACTTGAATAGAAGCCATTTTAATTGAATTATGTCTGCCTTCGGGGGTTTCTCATTTCATGTAATCTTTACTTCAAATGCCATCTTCTTCAAAAGCATTTGATAGATTATTTGTAAATATTTCAAGATCTCTATACAAAAATCAGCGAATGAATGTTCAAAGTTAGTTATTAAGGCTGAAAGTTTTGTCTTAGGTTAAACTTTGAGTTATTGCATAACTTCGATCCATAGCACCTTAATGCAAACAAGTTTGAAAGCAAAAACATTATATTGACAGAAAGTAAATTCAGTGACAGGACTTCCAATTTTAGATTCAGCCGAGATGAATTATTTCTTAAGAATTTACTAATAATTATATTGGCTTAACTTCTGGCGCATGCGAAGAAGGGTATAGTTCAGATAAATGAAAATAAAGACATATAGGTTATTTTCTTTATTATTTAAAAGCAATAAGAATACTAATTTTTCAGATTTGCTTCGAAGTAATCCCAAATTTTGAGAAAGAAAACTATTAAATTTTTCTATGAAATATTATGGAAGAAAATAAGCTCAAATCAAGTTTAAAGGTTTTGTATCTTATTTTTAAAGTATCAAAACTTTAAGTTTACATTTATTTAGTAACAGAAAATATTATTAACATTATTATCAATCTTCAAAAATGAGTAAATATAAAACCTCAGACTTTGTTGCAAAAGAACACCTAGGGACAACAACCTCCCTCGATCTCTTCAGATTAATCCTTAAAAATATATGAGTGTGCATACTCTAGCAAAATTATAAAAGAGGTTTCACATTTGGGTTGGCTATCAAGGGTAGATCATAACGAACAATTATGTCATGACTAACTTTGTAAGACTGTTTCTTGCATGGAGAAAGTCAATACACCCAGAAAAGTGGCAGATAGTATTGCTTTAGTTAAGAGCCAAAGACAGGTATACAACTCAACGGGTCCCCTCAAGATTAAAAACTCCCTTGTCTTAAACGTATGTATGGGAGCTAATAAATAGCCATGTGTTTATTTACCAAAAGGGTATTGAGTGATGGATATTGAAAGAGTTCAGGTGAGCACGGTCGTAAGTTCGATATTTCAAAGGCAACCTATTTATACTCTTCCGGTTAATACAAAACTGCTCCTTTATAATAAAAGAAAAGCAAGCTACTACTTATATTCTTTCAAAGAACTGATATGTTTGCAGTAGATTTGGCAGGGTCAAACTTTGCTTAAAGTAATGGTAAAATGTTCAGAAGTGCAAATACTTATTGGCTTTAAAATGTTGTTACTTAATTAAGCATAAGGCATGAAATTGACTAGTCTTCTCCTGGCTTATTTAAAATGATGCCATGTTTGAGACACATTAGGATTCCGATAAGTGAGCGTGACTTACTTATTTATTAATACTCTTTGGTTTTATCAATTTTGGTTCCTTTAGGCAACATAGAAACCTTGAGAACCCTCATAGTATACCTTTGTGCTGGTTTTGTGGGACTCTATACAAGTGTGAAAGGTTCATATTTTGCTATTTACCTTTTAGCCTTTGAAGTCTGAGCCATGTTATGGATAAATGTTATATATTCTATATTATCTTTGCTTTTCGGGGTTTTGGGGTTTTGGGGTTTTGGGGTTTTGGGG